GCACGTCAGGGTCACAGCTTCTCCAGTTACGTAGACAGGCAGCTGCGGGGACACGGTGAGCTGGGGAGCCGGGAGGGGGTCTGGAAAAAGACAAGGGGGTCGGGGAGGAGACGGTTCCTACTTGTGCGGCTGATGGCACAGAAGCAGAGGAAGAGTGAGTGACAGAGCAGAAGAGGGAGGGATCCTGGACACAGACCCCAGCCAGCCCCAGTTCAGTGCCCAGGGACCATGTCCCCGCCGGGCCATGCAAACACGGAGCAGCAGAGAACTCACTGCCGGGGAACCCCGTGGGCCCAGCGTCCCCTCCTTGGTACCTGAGGGGGCAGCTCCTGCCCAGGGCCAGCTCAGCCTGCAGGGGTGGGGAGGGAAGGGGGGAGGGGGGGGCTTGTGTGGCTGAGCCTGGGGGTGTCAGGGAGCTGCCCCCAGCAGGCACAGACCAGGCTTCCTCACGCTAAGGGCAGGTGGCAGGAACATGCCCCAGAGCCCTGGATATCCCCGGGGAGTGTCACACACGCTCTCTGCTGAGTAAGTCGTGCTGATCACTGATGTGCCCTGGCTGAAGACTCCTTTGGGGATCTGCTCCGCTCTGTGATCGAGGACCCTGTATCCTGTCGCCCTCTCACTCCTGGGAGCCAAGCACTTGAGGGTGACTGACTCCCCTCAGATAGAGATGGTGTGCAGGGAGCCAAGAGAGCGCATGGGGGTGGTGGAGGGTCTGGAATGGAGATCGAGGGGGGAACATCCACAAAGGGAAGAGGACTGGGAGATAGATGAATAAAGTCCCTAACACTCACAAACCAGCCCGATCTCCCTTCCCAGTTCCACCTCCCCGAGGCTGGTGGAGAGGGGCTGGCTCTTCATAGCTGGGCTCTCCTGGTCGGACGGGGGTATCCAGTACAGGTAGGTGCACGACCCAGAGCCCCCTGGTCCTGTGACATTCAGGGTATGAGGGAAGCTACCCCTAGATAGCCCGCAGCTGAGACGCTCCATGCCCCCACCATGTTGAATTGGAATCCTGAAGCTTTGTGACCCCAGGGGTAGCCCAGGGAGACCAGGGCTCAGGGAGAGGGATGGAGTTGCAGGGGGGTTTGGAAAAAGAGGGATCAGGGTTAGTTACTGAAGAATGTCACACCCGGCCGGGATCTCTGGAAGGCCTGGGAGGTGAGGGGCAGATGTTACCAGGTTACATTCATCTCAGAAATTAGAGGGGGATGGAGCCTTCTCTTTGGGAAACTCCCTGCACCCCTGTACCACACTGAACCCCAATGCTGCACTGTGCTCACATCTTACCCAGATGGAGGCAGGGCCTCCCGGTGTGGGATCTGCTGGCTGGAATAGGTTTCCCAGTGCACAGCAGGGCTAAGGGGCGGCTGGTCCCTGTCTCAGGTGTGAGCATCAGCCGGTCACTCCACTGGGACTGGGGACCTCTTTGCAGATCAGATCCCTGCTTTCAGAGAAGAATTTGGATCTTATGGTGCTTTCACCCCTGGGGCCCGAGTAGCTCAGGGTGCACCTTCGTCTCCCATAGACATGGGCAGTAGGGGATCCTGGTGTATTGGTGACGGCAGGGGGACGGGGTGACAGGAAAAACTGATCCATCTCCTGATGATAATCATGAAAGAAGCAGCAGGGCTGGGTCCTCTGTGAACCAGGAGAACACAGCTGCGAGCTCTCCACAGCAGTGCCCAGGGCTGTGAGCTTGCCCCACAGCATTGCCCTCTTAGTGCAAATCATTAGTGATCAGCTGGGACCCTCTCCCCCCATGGTGTGTCGGACACCAGGGTCTGACACTGACCAGAGAGGGGGGAGATTTGGGGTTTGTTTCAATAACCATCTCCAAGTTTTCAAATGTTACTCTGCTTGGGATCCCCCAAAACTTAAAATAGCACCGAAGCCCCCCCTCAAACCCACCACAGGATCCAGAGAGCCATGGAGTGACACTGACCCGATGGGTGCCCTTTCACGAGCTGAGTGACTGGGCTGTAATTCACACCGTGAATGGAGGAGAGATACCCCGCCAGAGGGCCAGGAAACAGCAGGAGACGGGGGGGGTCTCACCTCTCACTGCTATGGAGATGTGTTGGC